TTCCCGGGCTTTTGCCTGGGCTGCTTGGCCCCCGGCTAGTCCGCAGCTTGGGGTGGCCGGAGGGGCAGGGCTTGGGAAGTCGGATTTAGGAACTCGGGCCAGGTGTCTGAGAGGAGGGGCTGCGCGGACCTGGGGTGGGGAAGCAGGAGGAGGAAAAGGAGGGGCCAGTCCTGAGAGCAGGTCCTGAGCGAGAGTCCCTCTTCCCCCGGGTCCCAAAGGGGCGCACCCGCTCTGTGAGTCTGCAGCGCGCACGCCAGCTTGGAGCCGGGAAGCAGAAGGGGAGGCCCTGGTGACCGCGCCGTGCAGCCTGGGCCGCAGGACCTGCCCTTGCAGCCTGGTTCAGCCACAGAGCCCACTGCTTCTCCGAGCAGCAGCTTGAAGGAGAAAAGTGGAGCAACGCCTCCGGCACCGCCTCCCCTCCTTCCATCTCACAGGGGAAACCAAAACTGGACAGGAAGCCACTTGTCTCTGGCCTGGGGCGGGTTGGGGCCCAGGAAACAGGCCCCAAATTCAGGGCTCCCGTCCCTGGGGCAGAGTCTCCTCCGCTGGATACAGCTGTGCCCACGTCATCACCTCCTGCACTGACTCGTAGGGCACAAAGCCCTGCCTCCTCAGCTCCATCAGGATCTCTAGGAACAGGCCTGCAGGCCTTGGGCGTCACAGACCCTGCTGTTTCTCACCTGGCCTGGCGTCAGGGAACCCCGGGGAGGGTAAGGAGGAGCCCCCCTCAGCCAGGCCCATCTTGTCCACCAGCCCTGCCACTCGCCCAAGCACTGAGCTAGGGGGTGCCTGTCAGCGAAGAGACCCAGGAAGTCTTTGAAGCTACAATGGCATCACCTGGGAAGAGCCAGGAGGGGGTGCTCTGTGGGCCTGTCCTTGCAGGCCTACCCTGGGTAAGCATTAGGGGCTGGCCAGAAGTCCCAGGCCTTAGAGAAGCCACTCCTGCCTGTCGCCAAGCGTCAACCCTGGTTGAGTGGAGGAGAAATAGCCCTTGCCCTGGGGAAGCACCAAGTAAGGATGAGGATTAACACAGCAGTAGAGGCTGTGGGATAGGCATGTTGATCAGGGCAGGCTTCCTGGAAGAGGAAACTTTAACATAGGACCAGGCCAGGGATTCTGTGGGTTAGAGGTGGGAGAGAATGAGGGGGCAGACATGGGGGCACCTATCATCTAAGGCTGCCTGCTGCACAGCCTCTCACATCTCCTGTGAGCTTAGCTGGATACCCACGGTGCACAGGGCGGCTCTCGTGCCGCGCACATCCACAGGGCCGTTGGGCGGGAGCTGACAGTCTGAAGATATCCTGGAATATGGGGGGCAGGTAGAGGGGCAGGCAGCAAGGTGAACCGTGCACATAATATAGAGGACAGCGGCTGCTGTGTGTTGGCACTTGTTTAGTGCCCATTCAGTTCTCATGTCCAAAACTCACGTTTGGACAAGTTTGTATGAAGAACATTAAAAACTCATGTCCAAGGCCACACCACCAGCAGGGACAATGCTGGGCTTCGGACCCCGGCGGTCTGGCCCTGGAGCTACAGAGCATCAAGGCTGCAGGAGCCCTGCTGGCACCTGGCATGTAGCAGGCACAGCAAATTATTGATGAATAAAATGATTCTGTTTTGAGGGACCTCTGCCAATATCAAGGCATGATCGTTGGGGGGCAACAGGGTCCCCAAATTGTGAAAGGGGTTTCTTTTACCCCAACTCCCACAGTCCCGGGTTCCAGGGGTAGGGGAATTTTTTTCCAATTGTTTCTCCCAGTATCCTTCTCTTCCTTCTATCCTGTTCATCCATCCACCCATCCATCCATCCATCCACTTACCAACCATCCCAATACCTTCCTATCCACCAATTCATCTTAGACACACACACACACACACACACACACACACACACACACACACACACACCAGTGAGCCCTGGGGTTGAAGAGAGGAGCAAATTAGACTGGCACGGAGAGAAGGGTACAATACAATCACTATTTCTCGCAGTGACCTCAGCCGCTGGGCAGGCAACCCCTTGTAGTTCTGCTCTGAACACCCCCTACTTTTTCTCCCTGCTCCCAGCCAAGGGCCCTCACCTGACAGCTGCCGGGATGTCAGTACAGTGGGGCCTTGACTTATGAGTTTAATTCGTTCAGTGACGGAGCTCGTAACTCAAATTACTCGTATGTCAAATCATAAAGTGAACGAGTGAGACACGTGATGCTGGGCTGATGTTGTGGCGTTCACTGTGACGTTCGCTGCGCCAACTAGCGGTGGGGTATCTGAAGCTGGCTCGTAACCCGAATTTTAGCTCACAACTCAAAGCAAAAAATTGGCTGAGAGACGGCTCGTATCTCGAAAAAACCGTTAGTCGGGACACTCGTAAGTCAAGGCCCCACTGTAGTAACAGGTCCTTGTCTGCAAAGCTGCCTCGGGGAAAGAGGTTGAAAGTCCTTTGCACCTGCTGCAGAGGTGACAGGGCAGGGTAGGCTTATCCCAAACCCAGCACCCCACTCCCAACCCTCACCTCTGAGACCCAGCACCTGGGCCTGACGACGCTACGAAACGGGTAGCTGCAAGGCCCTTGAACTCTTTGGCCCCGTGTGAGGCCTGCTCTGCCCCTGTGGCCAAGGTTGCTGCTGGCTCCGTCTGGGTCAGCGAGGCAGTGTGCTGCTGCAGCCTCCCCTTCCAGGTCTCGTGTGAACAGTCTTCTGTGGAGGCCTTGGAGGTGGGAGGAAGACACTCCCCATTGGATGCTGAGACTCCAGGGGACCCAGGACCAGGCCTGTGGGCACACAGCTCCGCCTTCTCCCAGGAAACCCCATACCAGCCATGTGCACCCGCAGTCCTCTAACCAGGGGGCTCGGGCTAGTAGCTTGGAGGAGCAGTGGACCCTGTCCTAGCCCTAGTCACCTGTACGTTCTCTGTGCCCACGGGGGTCTCTTGGTCTTCTGCCCTCTGCTGCCAGAAAGGCAGAATCACAGGCTCTAGGCTGGTCTTGCGCCCCAGGCCCGAAGCGCCCCAGGCCCGAAGCTTGTGCAAAGCTCCCGATGGCTTTGGGGTGGATTTTAACATCTTTTGGCAGGGGTGCACTCTCTCCCTCACCACAGGCCTGCTCCTCTCTGGAGTAGTTAAAAAATGGTGGTGGCATCCCTCAAAAATAGAGACAAGGACTTCGCAGCCAGGTGAGTTGACTGGTTCCGGAGCTTCTGCAGAAAAAGTCTGAGCCGGGGCCAGCACTGGAGGCTTTATTGGTTTTGTTTAGTCATTTCTCTGGGGGAAGAAGTGGGCAACAGCTTAAAATGGATTTTCAGCATTAATGGAGTCTCTTTCTTGGTTCCCGGCACTGAGCTGCAATGCAAAAGAGAGGGTGTCACTTGGGCTCCAGTGAGAGGGTCAAAAGAGAGGGATGAGCCCAGAGGCCGCTGTGAGGAGGGCCCTGGGGCAAGAGGACCTACTCCTGCTGCACGCGGATGGGCAGCTGACATTGTACTGTGTCCATGCATCACTAGAAGCAAGGGGTGCTGGAGGACCCTTTTCCCGCACTGGCCACTCAATGGAAGTGTCCTGGGCCCAGGGCTGGAGCCGTCAGGTTCTTGGCATGGAGACATTAGTCTGAGCATTTCTGATGAGGGACAGGTCATCGGCCCGCGGGGTGAGAGGCTTCCTAATGCTAGAATGGCTCTTCCCATTTTGAACCCAGGTCCCTGGCGAGCCCTGGAATGCTTACTCTCCAGGGTTCCCGGGCCTCCGCCAGCCCTGGCCTTGGCACTGCACCCACCCCTTCCTCCACCCCTTCCTCCACCCAGCCCCCCATTCCACTGGTCCCTGTCCTCCCGAAACTGTGAGGAGCGGGCCCACCCACACATCCCCGAGCAGCCGCCCCTTGCGGGGAGCTGCGCCAGCCTCACTTACTCTTTCCTGTCTCCATTCAGTGAAGAGGACCTGGCCGGGGCCCGGATAAACTTGACTTTCCCTTTAAAGGCGGTCCTCTGGGGCTCCGGCTTGCTAAAGTCAAAGTAAGGGTGCAGGGTCTTGTCTTCCTGCTTGGCAGATTCCAGTGGCTCTCCGGCTTCCGGCGACTTCTCGGATGCCCTCTCCTGCACCTCAGGGAGCTTTTCCTGCTCTGGCTCCTCCTTGGCAGGCGGGGTGGTGCTCTCCACCATGGGCACCGTAGAAGGCTCCGCGGCCTTCTGGGGTGGAGATTTTATCATGTGCTCCAAACTGGGCAGGTCCCTGTTGCTGGAGGAGGCGATGGCCAGGGAGGATGCGAAGTTGACCAGATCTTGTAAGTTGATCTCTGGTGTGAGATAGGGGGAGGGCAAGTGGGTGTCTGACGGCTGCCGGGTGCCTGGTTCTGGAAGCTCTGCCTGGGTGCTTTCGTCCTGGAACTGCTTTACGGGGACCGGCTCTGGGGCCGCCTTCTGGATCGGGGGGCTGGCGATCTTCTCTGTGCTCTCGCCACGCTGCATGCCGGTCTCCAAATCCAGGCTGTATTCTGAGGCCTGGATATCTTTGTCTGCCCAGAAGAGGTGCTTGGAAGTCTGCACAAAGATGGAGCGATGGGTGGAGTCCACTTGTTCCTCGTCCGTGATACTCGGGCTTGTGATGGAGCTCGACCTCACATTCCACTGTTGGGTGTCCTGCTGCGTTAGCGCCCCCTCGAGGGGCTGGGAGGATTCCAGGTCTTCATTGAAGACCTTCAAGCTGGAGTCCTGCTTGCCCTCAGGCTTAAGCATGGACGCCGGGCAAAACTCCAATGGCGGGCAATACTCCAACAGTGGCACAACCTTGGCCTCCTGCACCGGTTTTGTGTCTTGTTCCAGGTTCTCTTTAGGTGGGACATTCAAGTGTAGCAATTCATCCACCTGAAAAGTTTCAACTGAAAGCTGAGGAGGCCCCTGCCCCTCAGGTCCTCCCTTGCACCAATTCCCTGCCCTGCTCCCCCGACCCCAACTCTTATGGACACACACACACACACACACACACACACACACACACACACACTGCACACTTCCTCCCCACACCTGCCTCTTTGCAGAGACCTCCTGGGTTAGGGAGGTGGTGTGAGCAGGTCAATATCGGTTTGGTCCTAGGGTTCCAGAATTGTCAAGGCTAGGGGCTGGTTAGAATTTAGGGAAGATGGGCCTTGTCTACCACCTCTTCAGAAGAGGTGACCCTGCCCACTGTTACCTTTTCCTCATCTTCCTCTTGTGCAGGCTGGGGCTCCTCTTGTGCAGGCTGGAGCTCCTCTTGTGCAGGCTGGGGCTCCTCTTGTGCAGGCTGGGGCTCCTCTTGTGCAGGCTGGGGCTCTTCTTGTGCAGGCTGGGGCTCCTCTTGTGCAGGCTGGGGCTCTTCTTGTGCAGGCTGGGGCTCCTCTTGTGCAGGCTGGGGCTCTTCTTGTGCAGGCTGGGGCTCCTCTTGTGCAGGCTGGGGCTCTTCTTGTGCAGGCTGGGGCTCCTCTTGTGCAGGCTGGGGCTCTTCTTGTGCAGGCTGGGGCTCCTCTTGTGCAGGCTGGGGCTCTTCTTGTGCAGGCTGGGGCTCCTCTTGTGCAGGCTGGGGCTCTTCTTGTGCAGGCTGGGGCTCCTCTTGTGCAGGCTGGGGCTCTTCTTGTGCAGGCTGGGGCTCCTCTTGTGCAGGCTGGGGCTCTTCTTGTGCAGGCTGGGGCTCCTCTTGTGCAGGCTGGGGCTCTTCTTGTGCAGGCTGGGGCTCCTCTTGTGCAGGCTGGGGCTCTTCTTGTGCAGGCTGGGGCTCCTCTTGTGCAGGCTGCTGGAGCTCCTGTGCAGGCTGGGGCTCCTCTTGTGCAGGCTGGGGCTCCTCTTGTGCAGGCTGGGGCTCTTCTTGTGCAGGCTGGGGCTCCTCTTGTGTAGGCTGGAGCTCCTCGTGTGCAGGCTGGAGCTCATGTTGGTTTAAGTCAATCCTAAGACAGAAGGAGACAGAGTGGGTGACAGGGCTCCACGGGGTTGGTGATGGCTTTAGGGGGGAGGGGAGCTTTATACAGGGGCTGGCAAGATGTCCCCAGCTATCCACTCCCTTGGCTGTCCCTACTCCCACCAAGAATTTTGGAGCTGTAGTCTCAAACTTTAGTGAGTTTAGAAAGTGCCTGGAGAGCTTGCCAAGTTGTCCCCCCGGCCCCCCGCCAGGAGGGATCCAACTGGTTGGAGGCGAGGCCCAGGAATCTGCATTCTAATCAAGCATCTGTCAGCTGATGCGGCTCACTTGGAGAACCAGTGCCCAGGAAGTGGCTCCTCATCGAAGGAAAAGCCCAGGGCACTGCCTTTCCCCAAACTGCTCAGTCCCAGCTCAGCAGATGTGAAGAGCAGAGGTGTGTGTGTGCGTAGGGTTCCCTCAGTTTTGTTGGCCATGTGCTGCCATCTTGGCCCCTTGCCTTCAGTGCTCAGCCATGTGACCCCCTCTCCTTCCTTAGGAACCTGCCCAACCCCAACTTGGACAGCTCTGTCCTTAGAGCAAGGTGGATCTAAGGGGTCAGGTCCCCTCCACGTCCCTGGGCATGCCCCACTGCCCCTTAGTCCTCCTCCAAGATCAGAGACTGGAGACAGAAGCAGGAGGGGGTGCTACCTACACCGCCTGCCCCCCACCCCACCATGGCCTTTTGGCCTGGATACTATCCTTGGGGAGATTTTGAAAATAGATGGAGGGAGATGCTGGGTTGGGGGGGGGTACATGAAAACTTGGCAGTGGTGGCAAGTGGGGGTAAGGGTTGGTGGTCTTAGAAGGTGGGGGAGCGGTCCTCCGATGATGGGGGACTGGTTCTCACTGTGTTTCCACTATGTCCACCGAATCCTTGCTACAGCAGGGAAATCCATCGGCACCTGGCAGAAAGAAGGAGGTGAGGGGTTCTGGAGCAAGGGCTGTTGGTGATGCTTCAGCCATCCTCTCCATCTCTCTCCGTTCCTCACCTTAACCCATTTGCCATTCCCTCTCCCACCTTAACCCTTGTTTCCTCCCTCTTCCTAGCCAGTGTCAGCAGACATGAAGACCTTCATGTATGAAGACCTATCCTTCATGTCTGCTCCCCTCCCCTTTCCATGCTGGCCCATGCTGGCCCTCCGTAAGGGTGAATGCTAACGGCACTCAGTTCCATTTATTGAGAACTACTAACCCAGGCATTATGTTGAGCACTTTCTGTGCTTTATCTCGTTGATTCAACAAAAAGGAGGTTCATTTGCCCAAGGTCCTTCAGCTGATCATTCAGGAAGTCAGCATGTGAATGCAGATTGGACTCAGGAAACTCAAGTGCCCTGTCCTGCATGCTGTCCTACCCAGGAGCTTGGAGCTGTGGGGTTCCCCGTCATGTCCACATGAACCGTCCTCATCTCCCTGCATTCCTGTCCCTCTGTCCTTTTCTCCACTCTCTTCTGGCCAGGCTTCAGATCTGCCACTCAGCCTACCCGTCCTCCTATCCCCAAGTCCATCCTCTCTTTCCCTGGCTCCTCACCCCATCACATCCTGGGGTCGTCCACCCCCAACTCTGGGCCCAGGTTCTCAACCCAGGTGATGCTGCCACAGACCTGGTTATTTAGGAGCTCTGATAACCCGACACAGACACTCCTTGGGGGAGGTCTTCCCACTCAGGTTTTTGGCACATTACAATCTTCCCTGGAGATTTGTGTCTTCTACTGCAAAAGCTTTTTTTCAATCTCTGGGGGTGGGAGGCACCAGGCTGTCCATTCCTTGCTCCCCAGGGTAGTGGATAGGGGTTGATGGTGAGGTCATCATGGCAATGGGCAAGCTGGGTTCCCATGAGCCTGGAGTGTGGCAGGAAGTGACAACCCTGGCTCTGGTTGAGAACTGCTCCCAGGGTTATAGCAAAAGGATCAGAATGTGCGGTGGCCTCTTCCTAGAGATGTAGAGGCTGAGGAGGGTCCTTGCCTGGCTGGTCCTGGGACTGGGATTTGGGCACTTCTGTGTTCAGCCAGGGCCGTGGGATCCTGGATCAACTGGGCTGGAAGTCTGCACCACCATGGACAGAATAAGTGGTCTCTTCAGAACCCTTCACGCTCCCTTGGCTTCCTCCCCATCTCTCTCATCATCTTCAACTTCACCTGCCCAGTGCTGCTCCTCCCGGGCCTCTGACCTCACAGCCTTCCTTGCTTGTTTACAGAGTTTCCCTGGCTATTGAATCAACATCCTGCAGTCTTAACCTTCCCATGAACGGCAACTGGATGTGGACAGGAGGAAAAGTGATTATGGTGTGGACCTCATAGCAGCACTGGCGGTTGGAAACAAAAGTCTGAGCTTGACTCAACTTGGGACTTCCGATTGCTAGTAAACAGAAATGTATTGATCTTGCATCTGTCCTAAAATCCTATAAGTTCTAGTTTTATTTTGTAATAGATTCATAGGTTTTCTACATAAACAATAATGTGTGTGACTCAAGACAGTCTTACTTCTTCCTTTCCAATCTAGGTGTCTCTTTATTTCCTTTTCTTGCCTTATCGCACTGAGAACAATCTCCAATACAATGTTGAATCAAGTGGCGAGTGGACATCCTTGCTTTGTTCCTGAGCTTAGGGAGAAAGCATTCAGTATATCACCGCTAAATATGATGTTGGCTGTAATTTTTCTTTCTTTTTTTAAAAATATATTTTTATTGATTTCAGAGAGGAAGGAGAAGGGAGAGATAGAAACTCAATGATGAGAGAGAATCATTGATTGGCTGCCTCCTGCTTGTCCCCTACTGGGGATTGAGCCTGCAACCCAGGCATGTGCCCTTGACTGGGATTGAACCTGGGACCCTTCAGTCCACAGGCCGACACTCTATTCACTGAGCCACGCCGGCCAGGCTGGCTGTAGTTTTTCTTATAGATGCCTTTTATTGGGTTGACAATGTTACCTTCTATTCCTGGTTTACTTAGTTTTTAGTTAGGAAGGGATGTGGGATTTTGTCTGATGCTTTTTTAAAATTATTGAGATGATCATATAGTTTTTCTTTTATAATCAGTTGACATATTGTTATATATAGCATGTTATATGTTAACATGAATACTGTTATATATTTTCTGTTAATAATTCATTTTACGGTGAAATACACTGATTAAAAATTTTAAAAAATTAATCTTGCATTCCTGGAATAAACCTCATTTTGTCATGATGTATTATCTTTTTGTACACTGTTGAATCTGATTTGCTATTTTTCTTTTTTAGAAGTTTCACATATATGTTCATGAGGTGTACTAGTGTGTACTTTTCTTTTCTTGTAATGTCTTTGTCAGGTTTTGATAGTAGAGTAATACTGGCCTCAGAGAATGAGTTGAGAAGTATTCCCTCTCCAATTTTCTGAGTTTGTGTAAAATTGGTATTATTTCTTCTTTATGTTTGATAGAATTACTGAGGCTGTCAAGAGCAGGATTTTCCCTTCATCTCCACTTTCTTCCACTTCTTCACCCACATTCATAACACTTAGATTCACTATCAAGTAGTTTTGTTTTCGGACGAACTCAGCTGCTCTTCCATTATCAGTAGCAATGCTTGCTTTTATCACTACCAAATAACTTCGTTGTTCATTGTCCTGGTATGGTTTTGTGCAGAGTCTTTTTTTTTTTAAATATATTTTATTGATTTTACAGAGAGGAAGGGAGAGAGATAGTCAGAAATATCGATGAGAGAGAAACATCGATCAGCTGCCTCCTGCACACTTCCCACTGGGGATGTGCCCGAAACCAAGGTACATGCCCCTGACTGGAATCGAACCCGGGACCCTCCAGTCCACAGGCGAACGCTCTATCCACTGAGCCAAACCGGCCACGGCATGTGCAGAGTCTTTATCAAAAAATAAAATAAATGCAATGCCTTTACTCTTCCTGGCCACAGCATGTGCAGAGTCTTTATAAAAAAAATAAAATAAATGCAATGCCTTTACTCTTCCTGGTGTCTTTAATTTTCATTATAGTAACCTTTACAATTTTTGCCACACTTGGAAAATATCCGGTGTGTCAACTGTTGGTCAGGGAAGACGGCAAGTTGGACACATACACTGTGCTTTTACTTGGGGCCAACCCACCTCTCATTTCTTCAGGTGGGGCGGGCCAGGAGTCTGAAGAGCGTGTATGAGCCCTCGGCTCAGTTGGGGCTCAGCCCTGGACTGTCCCTTGCCCTTCGCAGCGGCCTTGGCATCACGGGTACTGGGAAGGGTCAGGTGCCGCAGATGAGAAGGTGCTGCAGCCTGTCCATGGCTCTCCTTAGACCCAGAGCTGGAGGTGGCCCAGAGGGGGGCTTTTGCTGACCTCCATTTTACTTTTAGTCAACGCATCAGACCCAGGCCTACTTAACATAAGAATAGCCCCTGGAGGGGGTGTAATAAATGTTGCAGGAGTGACTTAAAATGTCTGCATAAATTTGTTACCCCACAAATTTGGGAAAGGGGGTAAGTTGCTCTGGTTGTTGGTTTTGGGCACAGTTTATTATTTATTTATGCATTGGTTTTGGGCGCATTTTAAAATGCTGGCCCAGGTATGTTTTCCAGGGAGAGAAGGTCCTGAGGGAAAAGCCCTCACTCCAGTGGGGGCCTGAGCCCCCATGACCAGAAACTGGGGAGACCCAGGGCCCGGAGGGCAAGCATCTTTGCTCCTTGGCGCGGAGAAGAGTGCAAAGCACAAAGGAGGTGCTCATGAAACGGTCGTGGCTGCTGCTTCTTCCTGCAGAAGTTCCAAGCACCGGTCAGGGGCAACTAACCACGATTTGAGCGGTTGTCTGCCCTTTGGATAATCCATGAGTCGTTTTCTGGGCACAAGGCTACTGTTCTTAGAACCTCCGGGCAAGAACCCTCCGAATGTGCGGCCTAAACCCCAAGGTGTACATGCTGCCCATGCACAGGCCGAGGCCTCGGAGCTGGGC